TTATTTTGTGCTGAAGCTGGTATTAATGTGGAGGAGACGATCAGTGCACGTGCGCCTCACGCTGAACTGTCTGTTGAACTGAGGCGCTACAGCGATCTGTCACTTCACATTAAACAGCGCCAAAATGGCATTTATTGTTGGAATACTGCAATACAATGGACAGGATTTGAAATCTGAGACTTTGTTTCATATTAAAAGTACCAAAGCACAACGCTTATTGCATTTATTGGATGGGAAGTACCCTTCAATGTTCCGTCCGTTAACTGAAAACAGGAATCATTGGACAGACCGAAGATGTTTTCTTCCCGCGGTAAATTACTGCGTCATCAGAGAGAATAGGGGTTATGCGCAACAGACTTCCGTATTCTGTTAACCGGGTCTCGTCGCTTCCGGTTCAAGCGTTTTGTATATGCTTAGTTAAATATGAAGCAGTTTTACTCAAGATGCCTTCAAAGTAGATACCAATGATGATCATAACCAATATCCATCACATATACGGACTGATATCTAAAAGTTTTTTTTATTTTTATTCTTTTCACATTTAGATATAAAAATTGAATAAAACGTCAACAATAAAAACAGCTAGCTAGTTTAACTGATTATCTTAAAAGTCCATAGATATCGCTATTATTTAATACGGCTGTTAACACGTTCTCCGACAAGCGGAAGCAATGAGACCTGTTTTCCGGGTTTGGTCAGGTGATGTTCGACATATACCCTATTGACTATAAACTGAGACGTGTTTAAGTGAGACGTTCCTTCACTCACATCAGGAAGAGGGAAAGTGCCAACTGTTTTCTTTGTTATTTTGATTAATCAGTAATGCACATTGTGTTACTTCACAAACCTGTTAAGAGTTATTTCAAGGGTATGTAGAAAAGCGAATGTTTCTAAAAGGCCTTAGTATTCAAACTACACTTTTACTTTAAAAGAATATTCACACAACATTCAAAGACTGTGATGACAAACTATCATTGTCTACTAAAGTTCTTACTAGGGTTGTGACGGTGAGGAAATTTTCCCACCGGTTAATCGACGTGTGACAACACCGGTAATACCAGTATCACCGCGGGGACAGGGTGTTCCCTCTTTTCCTCGTTTGCCTTCGTTTTTAAATAGCTTAAATTGCTTGAATGCAACAACCAAATACAACGTCAAACTCACTTTAGCCTATATATAAAACATAGAACTTTTATTAACAAAACAAATAAAAATACACCATGCTATAGGGCAAGCTATGCCTAATATAAAATAACAAATAACTTACATAAAGTTCAATAGGTATACAAAACTGGAAATAAGTAAACGTATAATATATAACCAAATAAATAAGAAACGTAGAACGTTTATTAGCAAAACGAATGTCAAATAAAATAAATAAATGACACAGTTTAAATAAAGTAAAAATCAGCAAACAATGTAGAACCAATTAAATAAGAAACGAATGTTTAAAAAAAACTTCGAAAATCACCATAGATAAATGGTAAAAGTCAACAGGCTTTTCAAAATCCAAAATATTGCCAAACAGGCGCTTCTGCATCTAGTTTAGAAACTAAATCATCCGTGTTCGTCTTGTCTCTCCGGTCTCACCTCACTCTTCTTGTCAGTCAGCTCGACTCACTCTCCTCACTGGAGAAATTAAATCTGATCTGTGATGCGACT